AGATCATGGCTTATGGCAGTTCGATATCATTCAACAGTTTTTATACACATACAAAACTTGAGATCTTTTGCAGATGATGGTAAATAAATAAGTAATTGAGGAATAATTGAAATATTCTCACTAATATGATATCACTTATGACGGACGAACCTCTTAGCATTTTCTTCAGAAGTTGAAGTTGTCGAGCGTCAATGATCAATTGAGACGGTTCCCTCTGAAGTATCATCGAAACTTTCTGTGCTATCGATTGATTTTCAACGTGAAATGCAGCTTTTTTGACTAAAATGAAACACATTTATTTATTGGGGTATCTCGATCACCCAATGTATCATCACGATAGTTGAAAAAGAAATTATGAATCATTTTTTGTTGCTGAACTTTTTCATTGAACAATTCACAACTTGTATATATGCCTATATTTATGTACTTTTTGCGAATGCTTGCCAGTTGTGTGCAGTGCTATTCAGCCACACCACATCTTAGAAGGCGAACAATCAGGCAAGAGAACAGTGCAAATGGAGGTGAAGAAAGCTTTTGAAAGAAACACTACATCTACTAATCTCCACCTATATTTAAGCTTAACCAATACTTCTTTACGGTGGATTGTTTGGGTGAGAAAAATTTTTTAACGGATTTAATTTAGTGGTTGAGAGGTAGTTGAAATGCTAACAATAAGAACTGACTTAGAGATGTCTCTGTTCGGTATNCATGTTATCTAGGGCAGAATGGATAGATAGACTTTTCAAGAGCATATGTAAACAAATTGCTCACAATCCATGAATAACGCAGCATTCATGTTTCCAGGCCCACCAGGACCATCAATTAGTTTAGCGCCTTTCGAAGCACCGATACCGATGTATTTACCATCAGGAAGTGCTGGCATTTCACGTTCCGTGAAACCGAAAGCGGACGGTTCATACAAAAAGTCCTGATTTGATCCATACGTGACGAAGTTGCCTCTGAAAACCGGATTCCAACTCTAGTCGATCAGTCGATTCCATAAAACTCTTGTTCATACTAACAGTCGATGCCTATTGCAAGCATTGGTGGATCAGGTTTAGGCTCGAATTTTGAGTTCTCAAGCTCAAATTCAGTTGAGGTTTGGTTTCGAGCTGAGGGATATTTAATGAATAAGAGGCTTGTGTTTAAAAGTTATATCTGATGTTGCATACATCCAGTGGAAAACAATTCTTTAATTGATCCTCGAAACATCAAACGTTTTCATTCGATATCTTTATCTCAATGGCAAAACTGCACTTCCTTGCTTATTTTTTTCGAATGTGCTTACACTGTCGTATTCTCTTCAACTTTTTCACAATAATAAAAATACATTTAAATATTTCAGTTCAGAGAAATGATTCAGGACACCGGTAGACTCTATATAACTCCTTCAATGAAACACTGCGCTTGAACATCTG